TGTTCCTGGCATTCTAATTTTCTAGTTTCTTCTTTTTTTTTTTTTTTTTTTTTTGCTTTTTTTGCTTTCTTGCTTTCTTGTCTTTACCTTTCTGGATGGTGGATGAATGGGCAGAGGGATGGAATGGCTGGGGACGTGATGGAATTGTATGGAAATGGAAAAGATAAATGAAAAGAAGAAAAAAATTATATTATACTTTTAATGCTAGCGATTTGACCTGATTTGATTTGTAAAGGAAAGGAAAGGAAAGGATGGAAGGAGGCGAGTTGAAGTTGTAGAGGAAGAGGCTTAAGATGAATAAGAAGAATAGTGATACTGTGGCCTATCTACGATACGAGGGTATACCATACGGTATCCTTTTGCCTAGGCCAACGTACGAACTCGTACCGTACGAGCACATTACAACCGTGATCGTAATCGCCACAGCAACACGAATTCTGCCTACGAGTACAGCGCCCACGGTATGATGCCAAATTCGGATACGGTAAGTTAAGGCCTCCAATCGCTGCCGCGACGCCCCAAAAGGGAACTCATTATTCATGCCCCAACCACCCGCTACCAACCAACCACACAGCAGTCTGGGTCAGCAAAACCAAACGAGCGGAAGAAAAGAAAGGAAAGGGAAAGAAGAGGGAAAGACAGTCAGACAGTGGGTGGTGACACTAACGCGCGCTCCGCTGCAAACGTGTTACATATCCTTTCTCGAGGATTTGTGGAACGTTCACTGGGGAGGGGGGGGAAGGTGCGGGTTTCCGGGATAGTGATTTACTCTACCGTAGAGGACCTCTGTTTGCTACGGATAGAGAGGGGGGGAGCACGGCACCGTACCGGTACTCGTGCAGTAGCTGTCGGGCGGCTCTGGGGCTCAATCTGGAGTGCTTTGATAGGTTTTCGTTGCTCTACTTGTGCTCTTCTCGAGCAGTCTGCGACTCTGCGGTATGTACTCCGGTAGTGAAGGAGTTCATCGTGTGATTCTGGCTGTTTTTCGGTAGGCTACAGCGTTCTTTACAGTCCTGCCGTCCCGCACTCGTAATTTCGCCTATCGTAGAGCTCGATTGCTACCATCATCATACCTGTAGAATGGGGTAAGTTAACTTAGGATAGGGGGATGATCGTTGTTCGTCCGCCGACCCGGCGTTTTCAAAATGTGACTACCGCATCGTGGAATACCATGCCATGCCGTAAAAAGACGGGCAGACGGGCAGACGGTATGATACTGTACCGGTGCTTGGCTCTATGAACTTCCATCACAGGCAAGCATCGTACTATGTACTCGAGTACTGTAGAGAAGGGGCGCAACCTGGGTTGGAATTGACCCTGGCTTACGAGTACGCCAGCTCGCCACACACACACCACACAAGCCAACAGACCCGTACGAACTAGTACGAGTACAGTACCGTATCATACGGTCACCGGTACGAGAGTAAAGAGTGAGACGAGTGGGTGAGTGAGGGCGAGAGTGAGAGGACCTCGTCGGCGCTGTAGCCTGAATACAAGTAAAGCGGAGATGGCGATCGCTGATTGGTTGCTTTTTTACCGCAGTCGATTCGATCCTGGGAATCGGTGGAGCGAGAGTTTCGTTTGACCCGAGGAAGAGCACAATGCCATAGTCTAGTTGCCCTTGAGTTGCATCCGGGGTGCGGAGTTCTACGGTCCCGTCAGCCTGCTGTGTGGTAATAATGCACGGTGCTGGATCATGGATTTGTAGGATCGCTTCACCACAACGAGAGTCTCCCTGGGCAGTGATTTATAGTGCCACTGTATCTAGATTCTGTAAGCCTACCGGACCGCTCACACGGGATCGGAGAGCAGTCGCGGGAGCGTAGGTGGGTTCGAGATCGCTTGTTTCTTTCTTTCTTTACTTTTCTTGCTACCCTCCCGTTCCAATATTTCTGCCCCACAATTGAATGATGAATGGATGATGGATGGATGAATGGATAGATGGATGAATGAATGAATGCAAATTTCTTTCTTTTCTCCCTCCTTTCTCGTTACGGGCACCGTACGAGTATTCTTGGTTTGGTCTATGACTCTGTGCATCTTGGCCTCTCTCCCTCACTTCCTTAGAACGGACCTCTCCCCCTCCCCACCTGCTGCTGCTGCTGCTGCTGCTTACATACCCCCCTGTTCCTCCTGCCTTTTGTCAAGTGAACACTGCCCACCCCGGGCAGGCAACTAACCTGTCCTCCTCCATCCGTCCTCTCTTAACTGCAACGCCCTCGCTCTCTCTCCCCCCCACACTCCTCCCTCCCTCCCTATTCCCACTCACCCTTCCTTTACCCATCTCTCTCTCTCTCTCTCTCGTTTTTTGCTGTCTAAACGAGCACCCTCACAAACACCATTTAGAAAACTAGCATCGGTACCCTTCATCACGCACAATACATTCTTGATCGTGACATCACACTCTCAGCTTCTTAACAACTCCCTTTATCATGGCTAGCCACGGCGCCGTTCATCCAGATACGGCCATTAAAACCAAGGTTACTTTTAACGGGAACACTCGTTGCTTCAAGCTCGTCTTGAGGGATCTCGGTGCAAGTGTCCTTCTTCCAAAGGTAGTACTACACTAAATTCCATAACCCCTCATCTTGAATGCCTCTGCGTGTCGTGCCTCCCCCTCCCCGTGTAGCCGACCCTCGGGCGGCGACGATGCTACGAGGAGGGGGGGGGGAGGGGCAAAAAAAAAAAAAAAAAAAAGAACGAAAAAGTGAAGCAAAGCCTTACGTGATGAATAATGTGTGAAAGCTGACTTGACATGACTTACCGATGTTATAGCTTCGCACTCTTCTCGCTATTCCTGAGGACAAACAAGTAATATTTGAAAGATACTCCGATAGCGCTGGTGGCTACGTTATCCTCGATATCGCCGACCCCGCTGCTTTCAAGCAACTCTATCGAGCTGCGAGAGCTAAGTTGAAGCTCAGGATCCAAGCGACTATTGTTCCTGCAGAGGGTAAAAACCCTCTATCATATCTCTCAACCTTGTCGGGCTAAATTGCTGACGTTGCTTCAGTCCCTGCTCCTGTTGACCCTTCTTCGTCCACTGACACATTAACGGATCAGAGGAATGTCCCATCCACAGAAGCTGGCCCTTCAAGCCAACCTTCATCATCCAACGTCAGCCACTTTTCGTTGCCTCCAGCATACGCATCTAAAGTCTCCCTCGTACCAGCAGAGACTCCATTCGAGGAACTGGCAGCTGTAGATATGACCACCAAGTTTGCTCCGCCTCCTGACCTCGGTCAAGCCGTTGCCGATGCTGTCTCTACCTACTTGACTGGCGACGAGTATCTTCAGAAACTCAGGGAAACCGTCCGTGAGGAGGTGGGGAAGGAGGTTGAGAAATTCGAGAAGAGTTCCGAGAAACCCGAGCGGGCCCCATCGGAGGCCCCGGTTCCCGCTCCATTCACCGCTCCTCCTGCCGATGCTTCGGAATTTGAAAATTTCGAGACTAAGGTTGCCCCCTCGCCTTTCACCTATGCTATTTACTGCAATTCTTGCGAGAATAGCATTAAGGATGTGCATTATCATTGCGGGTGCTGCGATAGAGGGGACTACGACCTCTGTAAGAGTTGTGTGGCTCGTGGGATTCACTGCAAAGACTCCACTCATTGGTTGATTAAGCGTGTGCTTTCTCCCACGGGGGTTATTGTCTCTAGTACGACCGAGTCTGTTTCTCAGAAGGATGGATCTGTGCAAACCTCTTCCCGTCGTACTTGCAACTGTTGTGTTGTCGGTGAGTTGTATCCCTTGATGTCTGGCTTTTATCTGGAATACCAGCTACTAAATCTCCCTTACAGATTTACCTAGCAAGGAGTTCGTCACATGTAAGGTGTGCGAAGACTATGATGTTTGCATCTCGTGTCACACTTCGCTCAAACATGGCCACAACCCGAGCCACGAGTTTGTGCCGGCTGCTCCAGAAACCACGCTTGAGCCACATGCAGTCTCCCTTCTTGCTCCTGGTCGGGCTTATTGCCACTTTGCTATTTGCGATGGCTGTGATAAGGTTTGTTTAACCCTCTGTATGCTTACTCGAACGGTTTCTGATTGATATATAGCAAATTTATGGTGTGAGAAGTAAGTGCTTGAACTGCCCTGACTGGGATTATTGCGCAAGCTGTATCTCCACCGCGTCCGAGAGCCATCCTGGGCACCGCTTTGTCCCTATATACGAGCCGCTACCCGTCGGGTCCATCAGTACCGACTTTTCCAGACATTTTGGTGTTTATTGTGATGGGCCAATGTGTGCTGATAAACCCAATCAGTCTTGGATTGTCGGCGATAGGTATAAGTGTGCTGTATGCCCTGATACAGATTTCTGTGCCTCCTGCGAGGCCTCCCCTACAAACCCACACAACGTATCGCATCCTCTTATCAAGTTGAAGACTCCGGTTCGCAATGTTCATGTCACAACCATGGAGAATCAGGATTCGGAAAACATCATGGGTGATGTTCCCGTTCCCGTTCCCACTACCAATGCTGCTACTCAGGTCCAGACTGTTGCTGAAGTTAAACCTGCAGAGGAGCCCGAACCACCCTTCGAGAATGTGGAGGAGTATCTTGAGAAGCCCGTCCCAGCTGCCGAGGAAGCGAAGTTTGAGCCAGAGGCCGAGCCAAAGATTAGGGCCGGGCCCGAACCCGAACCAGTGGCGCCAGGGCCGGAGCCACTACGGGCTACCTTTGTTAGGGACACCATTCCCGACGGCTGTGAAGTGATCGCTGGCGAGGAATTCACTCAAACATGGATACTGAACAACAGTGGCAGCTCCACATGGCCTGCCGGTGTTTCCGTTCAGTTTGTTTGTGGTGATGAGATGTTCAGGAGCAATGAAGGATCCCCTATCAGCCCTACCGTATCTTCCACTGAAACCCTCCCGGGTCACCATGTTGCTTTCAGCGTTAACCTAAAGGCGCCTTTCGTCACCAGCCGTCGTTTGATCACCTACTGGCGCCTGGTTGGGCCCGATGGATCCAGATTTGGAGACAAGCTCTGGTGCGAGATTCAGTCTATCGAGAAGCCAAAGGAAGACAAGATGGAAAATTCCGTGTTGGAGTCCAAGGATGAGTTTGAGGATGTTTCCGAGCACGCCAACGATGGCTCGCAGGCTTCTTCCCAGATGATTTTCCCTAAGCTCCCTGTCGAAAGCCCCGTTGCGTCAACTGAGAACCTGGTTGCTGGCGTAAGTCTGAAGGGTGAGAATATGCCGGCGTCCGCCCCCATGAGCGCGACCTCTACTGGAATGGGCGATGATGAGAGTGAAGTCGATGTTGGTTCCCTTGGGGATGAGGTTGAAAGCTTCCTGACTGACGACGAGTACGATGTCCTCGATGCGAGCGATGAGGAGGCATTCGAGGAATGCGAGAAAGCGGCTTGAGGTAGAATAATAATTTGTGCTAGTCCTTGAAATTGTATTACTGATTGAGGAGCAAGCTCCGGGTGGGGGAGAACCCGGTACGACGATGTCGGTGTCTGCAGCCATTCTTTCCTTTATGTTTCCTTTGGTAGTTTTCTTCTGTTTTCCGCCGGTTTGTTACAGTCGTTTTCAAACACTGTGCACTCCTTTTCTGTTTTTCTGTTCGTTTAGTGGCTATACTGCATTGGTCAGTTACTTTTTTCATTGGAGAGAAATTGGATCCGGTTTTTTTTTTCTTTGTCTTGTTTGTTTGGTGACGCAGGGGGATATTTTCTAGAAAATGGGTGATAACACGATTCAAATCTCTCCTCATGAATGTTAAGTTGGTGGTTTCATTAGTACAGTACGTTGAACTAGCTGTTAGGAAATTGTTGCAATAAGAAATGCGGTACTATATCACACCGGTATCACGACACTCCCGAAATATATTGTGGAGAGCCTTTCACGGGAACGTAGCCAGAATCGTAAACCGGCCTAAGGTGTGGAGGAGTTCGGGGATTTGGCATTTTCTACCGTATCGTCCTTTTTAGATTAATTTTGTGTTAGGCTTCGGCCCAGGAGTGCTTGAGCTGTTGTCTTTTCGGGAGAAAAGCGTCGAGTTTCCCTGGGATTCTGTAGTCATCTGTGGACTTTGCCGTGAAGCTACTTTTTGGTACCAGCATACTCTCCGCAGCGGAAAACTTCTGCTCCCTCTCCATCGAGCCCCTTTTCGATTCCACTGCGACTATATAAGCTACTACACTGCACTGCACTGCACTGTACAGGTACTGTACTGGTACTGTATATCCCCTCGCGGCCCTGACGTGGTTGTCACTCTCCATTAAACTCTCCATCCCATTCTCACAAGTAAGCCCCACCTAAACCAGTCCTAACTAACCACTACTACCATCCACCGCACCCCCGAGAACAACAAACTATCATACGGAAAACCCTCCTCTCCTTCTTAGCCCCACCACTTAACCCTGACCACCATAACCTGGAAAACACCCTCGAGACAATATTTACCTACCATATCCCCACGTCACAATTCTCATCTCTCTACCATCATCAGTTCAGTTCCGCTTCCCTTACTCACCCACTCACCCACTCGCTCACTCCGCGCCCAACGAGAGAGAGGGAGCACAGCAACCAAACGAGACCAAACCAGCGGGTACCAGCTGCTAAAACCCTTAGCGCCACCAAGGCTCCCATTACCATAGTCACGTCCGTCATCCGCCAACCCATAAGTTATCACAAACTTCTCGACCTCACTACCCAGCTATCATACACACCTCCCCTGCTTCCAGTTTCTCTCTTTTCCTTTCCTTTCTCTGCTATCGTATTCTGTTTGTTTTTGCTGCTGGGATACTCTGCGTGTCTGGGGAGATGTTGAAGATTTGGTCTATGGTACGTGGGACCTCTTCCTTCCGTTTCTTGTGTTTTGGTGTGGAGTGATTTGCTGACGGATAGAAACAGAAACAACAGCAGCAGGCTGCATCTGCAGCGGAGGGTGGACAGAAGAAGAAGAAGGTTACCGCTGCTCAGTTGAGGGCTCAGAAAGGTTTTTATGCATTTTCTTCTTGTTTCTTTCGTAGCTCCTGTTATACTGCCTGGTCTGGATGGTTGCTTATGCTCTTTTTCTTTTCTTTCTAGATTTGTCAGAGTTATCTTTACCCCCAACTATCAGGATGCACATGCCCGATCCCGAAGATATCTTGAACTTTACTTTGACTATTGAGCCGGATGAAGGTTTGTTTATCTATTTCAGTCTACTCTCGTGTCCTCCCTAGGCCTGTGGGGTCTCTGATTATTCTCTTGGGATTATTTCTAGGGATGTATAAGGGCGGTTCATTCAACTTTACTTTTGCCATCAACAGCAACTTCCCGCACGAACCCCCGAAGGTTAAATGCACTCAGAAAATATACCATCCAAACATTGATCTTGACGGGAACGTTTGCCTGAATATTTTGAGAGAGGATTGGAAGCCCGTGCTGAATCTTAATGCTGTTATTGTTGGGTTACAGGTAGTTAACTCCCCTCTCCAACACATACAGGGGTAACAAGAGCTAATATTCTCATCAATATAGTTCCTCTTCCTAGAACCTAATCCATCCGATCCACTCAACAAGGAGGCCGCGGAGGACTTACGGCTCACCCGCGAAAACTTCAAGAGGAATGTCAAAAACTCGATGAATGGAGGCCATGTCAAGAATGTCCAATTCGAGCGGGTTCTGAAATAGATAGACAGGGGCAGCTGCCCGCCTGCTCTCTTTCTTTCTAACTAGCCTTTTTCTCTCTCTCTCTTTCGTTTTTTCCCTCCCAGCTTACCTAGAAAATATTGATCGAAAGCTCCCTTTACTTATGCAGCTCTTGTTGTCGATGTTGATTGGCCATTACATGTTCAATTAGACTTTCTTTTAAGCTTCTTTCTTTAAACTGATGGTGATAGCGATTAGGGTGGGGCGGGGGGTATCACCTCGCTTCTATTGTTCTTCCTCTCGTTTTTCTTTTTTTTTCCTGCCCTGCCCCCTCCCGAACGTCCACACATATCGAAATTATCTCCCTACCAGGGTCGAAATTCATCAGACTTAGCGATTCTTCGTATCTTATGTTCTTCCTGCAAATCTCGTTCTTATCTCTGGCTTTTTATATGAGGGCTCTGGGTGTTACACTTTGTGCGGTCTTCGTTTTTTGTTTTTTTTACCTTTCAACCCTTTTTTGGCATGATGGGTTGCGTTGATTGGAAGCTATTCATACTTGTTCGATGTGTGCCGAAGCATTGCTTCGTGAATCCTGACCGGGGGGTGGGGGGGGTTGTATGGTATGATGTGTAGAGGTGGATTCTATTTCAACCACTCACTCATGTGGTATACGATATTATCTGGCGTAAAAGGAACGAACGTGAGAACCCGAGAAACCAAACGCTTTTTTTTTTGCCCTGCCCAACGCTCCCAACCCACATCCTTCCCCGTAATAAAGATGGGAAGAATATGAAACACACGTTGACCTTGACCATTTCAACCCCCCGAATCAGACTGACTAGCTAGCTGGCGAGCTAACCTACGATATCTATTGTATTAAAATCTAGTTATTCTCAGGGCGAAGAGACCTAACGGCCTTTCCGGCCCTCCAGATTTCCATATTCCTGATCTCCCCAAGCTCCGCCTCGAACTTCTTGCGATACTCGGGGTCAGAGTTGTACTCGAGCGAACGCTTGGTCTCCGAGCCGTCGACGACAGAATCGTACAGCTGGTTGAAAACAGGTTTCAGGCTGTCCTTGAATTTATTTGTCCAGTCGATGGCGCCACGGCGGGCAGTTGTTGAGCAGGCAGCATACATCCAGTCCATACCATTCTACTTGAATTCGTTTCATTGCCATTTGAGCGCTTTCGGGGGGACGGGGAGACTTACACCACCAATCAATGGATAGAGAGATTGAGTTGCCTCCTCAACGGTCTCGTTAAACGCTTCCGAGGGGGAGTGGCCACGCTCGCGAAGGACCTCGTATTGTGCTAGGAACATACCATGGATTCCGCCCATGAGGCAGCCGCGCTCGCCGTAGAGGTCCTGTGCATAGTTAGCGTTGGTTGATTGGGGTGGGAGGCTGTTTGGGGCGCTTACAGAGTAGACTTCCTTCTGGAAGGTGGTTTCGTACATGTATCCGGACCCTGCAGCACATTAGTACCTATGGATGACTGATATATTGCTGAGGAGTGCAGCACTTACCAACAGCAACACCAAGGGCAACAGCCTTCTCCTTGGCCTTTCCAGTAACGTCCTGCCAGACGGCAATGGAAGAGTTGATACCACGGCCTAATCAAAAACATCAGCCACCTCATTCATCTCTCCCACTACTGCCCTCTCGTCTAAGCAAGCAAACAAACCATTCTTGAACAAAGTTCTAACCGTCCTTCCAGACCCCTTTGGTGCCACAAGGATAACATCAATATCAGCGGGCACCTCAACCTTCGTCAAGTCTTTAAACACGGGTGAGAATCCGTGAGAGAAGTACAGAGTCTTCCCCTTCGTCAATTGCGGCTTGATGGCGGGCCAGGTCTCTGACTGTGCAGCGTCAGAGAGAAGATTCATGATGATTGTGCCTTTACTAATGGCCTCATCCAACTCGAAGAGGTTCTTTCCTGGAACCCATCCGTCTTTAATGGCTTCGTTCCAAGAGGCCCCGTTTTTCCGTACTCCTGTGATGCGAACATTAGTTCCTGCCGCAGGGATAGGATAGGAGCTGGGAGTTGGGTGGAGACTCACCGACAATGACATTCAGACCGTTGTCTCTAAGGTTAAGACCTTGTCCGTGGCCTGCGGTTTCGAAGGGTTTCTCCCGTCAGCATCGTCGCTGATAATAGAAGCCCAACCCCACCAAAAGCCGCTCAGCTAAAAGAGGGGAGGGAAAATATTCCCCTCCCCCTCTCAATTAATAATAGAACAAGACAAACCTTGAGATCCATAACCGATCAGGGCGAGAGTATCATTCTTGAAGTAATCCTGGTTCCAAGAACAAACAAGACATCAATATCTCAATTGAAGACGTGAGCGATGAAGAACCATGGCCAGAAATGACTCACAAGAATCTTCTCCCTAGGCCAATCCGCACGCTCTGGCCGAAAAATAAAAAAAGTCAGCACAAACCCCACAGTTAAACTCAATCTAGAATCATTATCATCATCACAAACAACTGACCATAAACCTCCTCCTTGACACCAGCAAAGTCAATTGTCTTAACTCCCCTCTTCTGCTGAAAGGGCACACTAGCAAAACGGGGGGGGACAGCGACAGTGGCTCTGGCAGCGCTGAAGGTGGTAGCAATAGTCCTCTTCTGAGGTGCGGCAAACCGACGAGAAGTGGAGAGAAAAGCCCTGGTGAAAGTACGTGAAGCCATTGGGTATTTCGGAACGTGTGAAGAGTTCTAGAGGAATTAGTGGAGAAAGGGGGGGGGAGTATAAAGGAACCAGAGGGAAGGAAAATGTCGAAGGAAAGCCAAGACAGACGCATATGCCCAGGGACTCCACCGAAGTTTTTTTTTTTCCCTTCTCTAACTCACCGGTTCATCTGCTCGCAACCTCCTATGGCACTTGAGTACCACGGATATTAACTTAATAATCACTCTAGTTTTACCCGTAACTAAGAAGATCCCTGTTTATGATATCATAGCTTTTTACCATCAATTCTCCTAGGGCTGTCGAGGCTCCAACCGGGTTAAAAGGCATTATTTCCCGACCCTATCTCTCCGGCTCTCGAGAACTTAAACCAAGGTAAACTGTTGTTAAAAACTTTCAATTAGGCCTTAAGTAAACGATGGCTTGTTCTGTGCCAAGACTCTCCGGATTGTAACCCCCAGGAGCAGCTACCAGAGAATGCAGTGATAGTTGGTGACGGAAGGGTTTTTCCTGCCGGGCACGATTCCCAGAGTTTGAGGTCCAGAATTAGTTTTCCGGGAGATTATCTTTTGGTTCCGTGATTCTCGTTCTTTCCGGAGGCGATTCTTAGCAAAACTTGAAATTCACTTTCAGTCATAAGCTGTCACCCGCTTAATCTGACACGCTTGCTGAACCCTGAATTCCTTGCCAACTTATCCAAATTCCTAAGCAAGAAGCTAGGTTACGGACTGGAAAAACGAGAAGCTATCACTGAACGCTCAGCGTCTTTAAAGGCCCAGTGGAAGTCAAGGGTGAGGGTTCCTTACTACCAAACTTCAATACTAGACCCGTTCCCTCACGTTGCCCATTGTCTGCTAAACCACCCAACCTCTCCTGCTCCCCACCAAACGCGATTGAATGGTAGGGGATGGGGTGAGAACAAAAGGTTCAAGGCAAGTGTCGTATAGTCGCCTAGAGAGAGCGGTCAGTTCTCCTGTACCCCGGCCATTAACTATCAGAGGTGATGCTGTCAGGCCATCTCAGCGCCCAACCCCGCCAAACAGAGGGAAAAAAACTCAAAGCCAAAAGGCAAGACTCGTGGAAAAAGTCCCCGGGGTGAATGACCGCACGCACCATTCCATCGAGGACCTCTCGAAAGCCCCCCCCCCCAGTAATTCCCAGAACCTAGAAACTCTGCTGCATAACTCTCTCGAAGCTCACCAGCGATAAAGGTGAATGAAATAAGAGCCCGTAAACAAAAGGGCCATCCCGGCCCTTATTTATATATAAATCCCATCCAAGCCCATTCACCCCCCAAATCGCACGTCCAAACCAAGAAAAAAGAAACAAAGATACGTTCGCGTGGATTTTTAGTCCATCTCATCTATAAACACACCTACGCCTACGCCACGGGATCGTTTCCGTTCTACTATACAAGTATACCCCGCTCAGACCCATTATCGTGCGCACAGTCATTTCCCCCCGTTTTATCGCCCATTAGGAATCCCGATGAAACCGCTAACAACAATTCGCAATATCACGCTATATCCCACCGGAGTAATAATTTAAAAGATAAATAAATGGATGGATGGATGGATGGATGGAACCGTGAACGTGGTGTTTGCTCTTGGGTTGTTCGGCAGGCCTCTTGCTGGCCCGCGCGCGGGCTAATTTGTTCGAGTAAGGGGTTTACCGGGAATTAAATTACAGTGGAACTTCCGGACGGCTCATTAAAATAAAGTGAAAAAGAGTAATTGGGGGTCAGAGCTTTCCGGCTGTATGATATAAAGTCGGGTTCGCTGGGTTGGATTCTCTATAGGTTTTGTACCGGTACTGTACTCGTATAGTACTGGAAATGACTACGGGCACGGTTTATAATACGCGAATGACTTTTTTTTTTCTCACTTTTTTTCCTTGCTCTTTCGGTCTGGGGGAATTACGGTGAGAGGAGTATATAATAGGACTTACTGGAGAGGGTTCTTAAGTTTGTTTACCGAGTGGTTTTCTTGAGATGAGGGGAGTTAAGCGTATTTGTTGCGTTGAGGGTTGACGGGCAACGGTTACCGCCCGTCTGTTTCACGGTGAACAATGGACAGGCACGGTCACTTTCTTTCAGCCATGATGCTGCGACAAGACTAGACCTTTTTGGTCCGGTGATGTAAAGTATGATCTTTACACTCTAAATTACAGAGAAGTGGGGGGCCGGGGGATAAGTACAAGCAGTTGGAATGTTTTACTTAGGCATGCTAGGGGCTGAAGCAACAGGTGTTAAGAAAAAAGAAAAAGAATATTGAAATTTATTAAGTTAAAGTGACTGGAGATTTCAATAAAATTGATCACAAGCATGAAGTCTTGCTTGCAGAAATGAACTAAAAAGTACTACATACTAGTATATGTATGTACCTGTAAGAAATGTGACAAGAGAATTTCAAGTTGTAATATGGATCAGGAGTATAGCATTCCAGCGATTACAAGCTAAAATAGCGCTACATGGTTTTGAAAAAGACTAGTGTAGTAGCCTGAATATGCAGCGACAGCTGTACTATTACAAGCCTTAACATAGGTGTTACACAGAACTACATATTACAACTAGCGCCACCTCCATATTCAGTATTCAACAAAAGTGAACAGAGCGCTAAGTAGTTATATAGAGTATTATTTTTGTGGTATTTTAAGCTTAATGCGCTATTTTTGCGGTTGGTTGTAGCTGTGGTTGATCCTGTAAGTAGGAAAATAGCGCTTTTATACTTTTTTTAAATTATGTTTTAGTAGATAGTAGTGTAATTGATATAAGATATTGGGTTTCAATAGCTTAATGATAGCGCAAATTATGTTCCTTTAATAGGATTTTATAAATATTGTATGAGTTGACTGATCCTAATTATTTAGTATTTGTAAATATGACAAGATTTAAGATGTTAGAGAGAGAGGGCTACAGTAAGCTATCAAACTAGATTTTCCATATTTAAGTTATAGAATATAATAAAGAGGAAGGAAGCGCTATTCAATACTTCTTATATATTAACTGTAACTTATGTTAGTATTTATTAGTATTTTTTGTTCCAAGATGGATTAAAAGTATGTTGAACCACTTAAATATTTAGTAGCATTTTTTATAAAATTAATAGAAAAAAGCGATACTCAAGCCCTTAAACCAATATGTATATGCAGCTGCAAGCTATACATTGGTTCAGAGGATAGGATAGATCATACAGCGTCTTTTTTTTTTTGTTATTTTTAAAAGAGTATGCAAATACCTTTATCCACCAGTCATTTCTTTCTTAAAAGCAAGAAAGTCTATCAGCTGAGAGAATCCCAAGTCATGGGAAAAAAGGAATTCTCAACTTCCTATAACCAATTTATAAACCCTTGCATGCTTCATCTAAGTCAGCACAAGTCACTCAAACTCTAGATTAGATAGATACCGCATTAGCAGAAAGCAAAGGCAAGGTGACAGTATATCAGAAACCTGCAGCACTCACCCTCTCCCTTCTTTGACGTTCCACTTGCATCCTTTTATATCATACCTGAATCCACTAGCCCGGAATTGGGATTAGGACCGGTATGAACGGGGCATACTAAGGGGGTCCAACCACCACGATCTTTCGTTGCCGGCCGCTCGAGTAACGCAGCTACGGGAAACCGACCCGTTATTATTATTTTAATTTGCCGTCTATTATCTAGCTCGCTTTGTGATAATTGACGTGGTTTTTTTTTTTTTCTACTTTGCAATGTATCATACTTTTATTTTTATTTTTTTATCTTTCGCGGTCTTCTTGGGTGAGGTTGTGTGGTGGTCGTCGTTAGGTGCGCGCGGTTGCAGCTGCGGTCGTTGGCTTAGACTACCGTACCGGTAAGTGTCAAAGCAAATGCGAAGCGGTCGAGCGAAAGTCTCATCGCCCGGTTATGAATTGCAAGGGGAAAGGATTTTACTTGCGCACAAGCACTTGTATTTTTGGAGCCTCAAATACTGCCAACTACCGGTACCGTACCGGTATACCGCCTTCGTGCGATAAAGTGAAAGGAAAGAAAAGAAGGAAAGAAAAAAAAATAAAAATAACAAGGGCATTGCTCGCTGGCTCACACGTCCATGGTCTCGCATGTTGATCCAAGTGGCCAGTGGCGGTATGCATGCATGCAGGGTTCCTCTTGGGGGGGGGGAGGGGTGTTGGAGCCCGATGGAAAGATGTGCCTGGTGCGCGCACCAGGTGATCGCCTTACGCAGGCGCTCGAGTGATATCGGATGATTTTGAGATTCTAGACCCTTGTCGGAAAACTCAATTATGACCTCTTCTCTTTGCAGGTAAGGCGAGGGGGTCCGTGCTGAAAGCGACAACCATCGCCATCGCCGCCTCCAACCTCGTCCCCCACACGTTATACTGCACGTTCCCCCCTGCTCTGTCACCGTCTTAGGACTTGGGGTAGAGAGAGAGCGCATACTAGTACCGGTGATAGATAAGGGAAAGGGAAGAGAAAGGGAAAAAGAAAGACAGGAAAAAGAGTCGGAAAGTCGGAAAAAGAGAAGAGTGGGGGTAAAAGAAAAAAGGGAAAAAGAAAAGAAAGAAAGATGTCGTCGGTACAACTTCCACTTTCAAGGGGATCCGTGCTAGAAGCACACGAATTAATCAGGTCTCTCATCCACCGCACCCCCGTATTTACCTCTACAACGCTATCAAAGCTCGCATCGTCGGGTGATACGAACGTCAACTTACTCTTCAAATGCGAGAATCTCCAAAAGATCGGCGCATTCAAGATTCGTGGAGCAACCCACGCCCTCGCCCGACTTACGGACGAGGAATTGCGAAAGGGTGTTGTGACTCACAGTTCGGGTTAACTTACTCCCTCCCTCTCTCCGCTTCCCCCCTCCTCCCCACTGCCCCTCATCCCTCCAGCCAGCCAGCCAACCCAACCCAACTCCTCCCATGGAGGAGCTCGGAGCTAACGACAAAGCAAGGTAACCATGCACAAGCACTCGCATTCGCGGCAAGAGAGGCCTCTTCTGCAAGAGGCTTCAAGATATCCTGCTACGTCGTGATGCCGCGCATATCCACGCCGTCTAAGATCGCCGCGACGGAAGGGTACGGGGCGCAGGTGGTCTTTTCGGGGCCCACATCTGCCGAGCGAGAAGCTGAAGTTAGGGTGGTCAGGGAGAGGACGGGAGCTGTGCTCGTGCCGCCCTACGATCATCCGCATATCATTCTCGGACAGGGAACTATGGCTGTGGAGCTGGCTGAACAGGCGGAGAAGGAGCTCGGGATGCCATTGGCTGCCATAATTGCGCCCTGTGGGGGCGGGGGAATGCTTGCCGGCGTCGCAGTTGCGTGTAAGGGCACTGGGGTCAAGGTTTTTGGAGCAGAGCCGAGGGAGGGTGCGGATGATGCTTGGAGGGGGTTGAGGGATGGGGAGAGGGTGGATAGTGTGAAGAGCCTGACCATAGCTGATGGCCTGCGCACTCCGGTTGGGCTGGTCAACTGGGGGGTTATCAGCGATAGGAGCTACGTTTCTGGTGTGTATACCGTCAGCGAGGAGGAGATCAAGTTGGCTATGAAATTGGTGCTCGAGAGGATGAAGATCTTGATCGAACCTAGCTCTGCTGTGCCGGTCGCTGTGGCACTCTACAACAGCGAGTTCAGAGAGGAGATGCAGAAGCTTGCTCAAGGAAAAGTTGTGAATCTGGGGATCATTATAAGCGGTGGAAATACAACTATTGACCGGATCATAGAGCTCTTTGGAGCGAAAAACTAGCACCGACGATTAAACGGTATAGGTGTAGAATGGCTCGCGCAGTTATAATTTGTCAAACATCTTGGTATCTCTTCAACTTATTTCCTTCCTTTCGGGAATTGTTTGCACTCCTAGAGCCTGGGCCGTTTCGGCCGGGACTGGGGCTCGAATGACTACTTATGGTTCGTGTTCCGGCCATGAAATACCTGGCACCGGGGCGGATAATGCGCACGCAATCTTGCGAGTGTGCCGGTATGATACTAGCACGATATATTTTGCGGCTTCTGTTTTCGGAGCCCGTGAAAAAGGAGGAGACGGGGTCTATAATTATTATGGTAATGTTATCGTATCATACCTTGGGCGAGTGTTTGGCGGTACGGTTTACCGGGAGAACGCATGTCGGGGTTTCGTCTCAACTGTCTGATGATATACTAGTGGTGTAATTAAACTTTTTGTTTCGAGGAATTATGATACTAGGCCATTATAATCTAGAGTTTTTTTTAGAGTTCGTTTTGGACATTCTGATGATTACTTACTTAATACACTTGAACGATGATAATAATATTATTACCATACCGCGGTATCCGGAATGAGCGCTCCGGAGCGGAGGCTGGGTGCTATCATTCTATCTAATACGTATCACACGTGGGCTTCACTGCGCTTGACTTTGGTCCGAAGTGAAAGAGGGATTGATTAGACGAGTATCATACCAGTGCCCTTCGCTACGCTCGCCAGGACAGAAAGAAAAAAAAAATCGAACGCAAGTTGTATTAATATACGGTACTGGGATGTCATATCATACTGCTCATCCTCGCGGTTGGGTCCTCAGCCCCCCTCCTCCCAAAGATTTCTCCACGATACGATACGGTACAGGGCATGGATAGATGGATGGATGGATGGATGGCTTTCGCAATGTATGATATAACGAACAAGGAATCTGTTGAAGTTAAAGGGTTCTGTTTCCCCGGACCCGAAACTCACCATTGAGGACTGTCATTTGAATGCTCGGGCTTGTGATGCAGTTCCCTTCATATACCGGTAATAGCATACTTCTATCGTAGCACCCACCCCCTCCCATCTGTGAGAAGGTTGATCGAAAAAAGGGAAAATCCCATCAAGGTCTGAGGCCCGCTCGCAAGTGTGATACGAACATTATACTTGGGGGGGGTACCATAATAGGGGAAAAAGGAAAAGAAGTATGGTAAATCCCTGGCTCCCAAGACACATGTAGATATTGTTATGGTATAATACGGGTAGCCACAATTCGCTATAACTTACCGTATGAACTCACGAAGGTCGGACAGAAGTCAGGGTTTGGTGTGTGGTTGGTGCTTGGTTGGCTCCCTGCGAGTAAATCGGAGTGGGATTGTGGGTACGGTAGACTACTGTAAGCCTAGTGCAGTCATTAGACTATGATACTGTCGGAATCTCATACTACGGTGTACCGTATATACCCCGATAATACGATTGGTGAGGTCCTTTTCTACTCGTAGCGCTGGTCTGACCTTATACTACTAGTACTCGAGTATAGTACGGTATCATGTCTTTTCCTACCCTTCAAAGTGTGATACTGGTATGTGCAGGCAACCAGGTTGAGGGTTGAAACTTGCTTACAAAAGCCCTGTCTTCCCTGCTTTGTGTGTCGTGCGAGGAATAATATTATCACATAATCAGACTGGCTGACGGGCCAGGAGTGCTGTAAGGTAGACTTCGGGGCAGATGTGTGAACTTGGCATAGAGATCCTTCTATGAGTACAGTACAGGCAACTCGTAAGTGGAGGGCGAACTTGGGGGGCGGGGGCGCTCTCTACGGGTTCCACAGGATTTATGACAGATTTTTCCTTGTGCGGTTTGTTGGCATGAACTCGGTTTTTGGATTCAAACCCATTTACGGTTGCCCGCTACCGTATGTACAGTACAGTACAGTACAGTACAGTATTCGCCTGCCATGTGTAGATGTGCTAGCGTTTCGCATGCCTTTGGCTTGATTACGGCGCACGAGTAAGTAGTTGCATAGGGATGGGGAAAAAAGTATTACAATGAATGGACATCTACAGTATTTACAGTTTGGAGCCTAATGAAACGTGAAATACAGTTTTGAGAGCGTTTGGGTATCAAACTCTTTGACTGAGCCATATGGCAGCCTTACATCCACCTCTGATAGCGTTGAAAAGGACGTGGTAGCCTTCAGCGCCCTTTGAGTCGTGCTCAACAGCAGTGTCAAGACTGGATAGCTCTTGTCAGTGATATTATTCGTTGAAAGCTTGGACATCGAATAAGGAACGCACTGCTCTAACTCATCGTCTCGAAACTCCCTAGTTGTGTCTATGAGTTGTTTCAATTCGCCGTTTTGGAGTAGATCCTTATCATCCTTGAGCATGTCCAGCAGTGTCCTCAGTTGGTCATTGTAGTGACCCCCAATCTCGGTCTCTATAGCCTCCGTACATGCCATCGCCGCCTTCTCTCCGAGAAGGGCCGTTCCAACCCCTAGAGCATACCCCGCTACATTCCATAGCGGGCGTAAAGCGGTGGGGCGGATACGGTGTTTGGCAACGAGTTTGTTAAAGGTGTCGAGGTGATGAACTTCTTGATCCCACATGTGTCGGATCAGGGGCTTGAGGCGGGGGTCACGCTTCAGAATTGAATATTGCCCTTCGTAAATGAGATTGGCCCCTAGTTCACCGGCTTGGTTCACACGAATCTGAAAATAAAGTTAGGCAAACGTTAAAGGAATTGGGATAGTATTTATTATGTTGAGGGGGGCTACTCACCGCGCTATGGAGGAATTCTCGCTCCTTTTCAGTGAGGGGCCGTGACTTCGAGCTGGGGCCGGTTTCTGGGCTGTTTTCCGCTCTGGTGGATACCAGTCGACGGGTGTGTAAATTGGAGTGGGAGGTATATGGGTACTGAGATTGTTTGTGATATCGTAAATGTGGTAACCAAGGGGGGAATCTTCTGGTTGTCATAGCCTGTCACTGTAGGGATATCTGGAGGAATGGAGTGGGGCGAGCTTCTTGTTTGTGGTCTGTGGGGTGTTTCTGGGAGGGGGAGGTAAACGCGTATGGTACTGTAAGGGAATGAAGATTTAGTGAGGTTTGATGATCAATTTCAACATCATCAATCGTACTGTGCTTGTACTCTAGGCAAAGACCTACCGTAAAATACTGTTAGCATGTGGTGCGGTATCATAAGATGGTTGGTTGTATGATAGGGCGCCTCTTCCCTTTGACTTGATCCCCAGGATGACTAATTAGGGTATTGCTGTTTCAAACCAACTGCGACCTGCGACCTTGCGTGTTAAACCCGCTAAACCATTGTAGAGTACTGTACCCGTAATTTACACTCGTCGCTCAGCTGGCGCACCTGTCCTCCCCCGACAACTTCGCGCCTCCCTGTTTCTTTTCTCGACCACCGCCCTTACAAACATAACCTTGGCCGCGACAATCGTTGGGATTACGACCTACGACTGCCAGAGTCCCTCCTTACTCCCAGCCTTCTGTATTTTATCCCTTCCCTGATCTGCAGCCGGTTCTCAAGCCACTTGCTCTCACCATGTCTCTCGACAACGAACTGCTCATGCTTGCGGGTGAGGAAGATGAAGATGACTTCAAGCCTTCCTCAACCCCACATCGTAAACGAACGCTATCGCCAAACTCTGTCTCTCCCGCGAAGAAGAGAGCTAAGCCTACAGTCCGAAAGACAAACAAGAAAAAAACAAGAAGGGACAGCGATGATGAAGGCGATGAAGAGTGAGTATACTTTCCCCCTTTTCGGCATGGACATGAAAATTTTCCTGTTCTTATCCGGCCCTTTGCGCCCCTTTTAAGGGCCGTTTGCCACCTCGAACGCAAATTCCCCACTTGTTGAAGATGAGCTAACGATTCCATTAACAGTTCTTCAGGCCTGTCGGATGCCCCGTCTTCCTCGGAGGAAGGCTCTCGGTCTGAAGCTGAAGTATCTATGGATCTCGAATCCTCCTCGGATGAGGAAGATAGTGTCCAGGATCTCTACCCGCTGGAAGGCAAATACAAGGATCAGGCGGATATGAGAGCGTTGCTTGCAATGAATGAAGTAGATCGGGAAGCTTTACTAGCAGACCGTGCCGGTCTGATCGAGCGTGCTCAGCAGGATCGCCACCTTCGCAACTTGCTCAAATCGAGGAATACAGCTGACAAGGCAAATGGAACATCTATATCTGGGGCCAATCGCAGATCTACTAGGACCAAGAGTATGCCTAAAAAGACCGAAGAAACTACCAAGCGGGGTAAGTTGGACGAGCTCAAAAAGATCAGGGAGGAGCGTATCACCCGTGCTGCCGGATCCGGCAAACAAACCGGCGACGAAGAGGAGGCTCGCGCAAGGAGGAGGAGTATCAATGAGGATGACGAGGATAAGGCTGGCTATATCGAAGAGGTTTATGTCAAAGAGGATGATAGAGAGATCGCTCTTGCGGACGTGAATAAGGCAAGGATTGGCCGAACTGGGTTAGCAAAACTTTGCGATTATCCCGGTTTCGAGGACGTTGTCAAAGGTAATTTCGGTAATGTGGCGGCGGGAGATGTGTTTTAGCGCTAATGTTTATTCAGATTGTTTTGTCCGTGTATCCCTCTTTGATAGAGAGACAGGATCTACATCATATCGTCTTGGCTGGGTTAAAGGTGAATTGATTATTCGATCCCTCTTGATCTATTCTAATATCGTTTTTAGGTTTTGTGAGTGGAAAGCATTACAATATGCTGGAAGGCAAACGTCGTACCGACCAACATTTACGTGTTTCGCAGGGGCTGGCCGAGAGAAGTTTTGGCATGGAGTTTATGTCAGACAGTCCAGTTACCGAGGTATGCTTGTTTGTGATCACGTCCATAACAATAGGCTAAGGTATTGAAGGCCGAGTTGAACCGATTCAAGAAACAAATGGAGTTTGACCACTGCGCTATGCCGCCCCTATCTTTGGTGGAGAGAAAAGCCCGCGAACTTCGTGAACTTGATAACCGTGTTCTTACCCAAGACGAAGTCAACGAGATGATTCGAAAACGCAATTCGGACAAAGTGGATACTGTCAATCTAGTCCTCAAGCGTGGCCGTTTGCGCGAGGTTCGCGAGGCTGCGCAGCTAAAAGGGGATGAAGTTGAAGTGGCCCGTATTGACAAAGAGCTTCAGGACCTTGGCGATCAACATGCCAAGAGCCTTGTAGTCCCCAAATCACAGATGGAACGCCTGGCAAAACTCAATGCTGTTAATCGCAAAAAGAACGTTGCCGAGATACGCAGGGCTGAGATCGAAGAGAAGAGAGCGGCCAGGACTGCTACAGTCTATAATCCCTTCATGCGGGTTAAAACAGTCGCTAAAACCAGACATAATCTGGATGGGGGTAAAAAGGAAGGGGAGGACTCTCAGAACGCTAGTGGAGACTCACAAACTGATGCAGAGACGAAATCTAACTCCGCTGGCGTTGGGTTTCTCAGCTCTTCTACGAAGGGAAGAGGGAGATTGGGCGCCAGTGTGGACGATGTCATTGCAAATTATGACTTTGGCATTGAGATAGATATCTAAACAATCGGCGACGGAAAGTGAATATCTCTCCTTTTTACTTCATTTCGGGTTTCTGCATGATGGGGTTTTTCTGGGTGAACTGGCTCTCTTTTTTTTTCTTTTTCTTTCTCTCTATCTTCTGTTTCTTCCTCACTCAAGTATCATACAATCATGCAAATCTATTAATTTTATCAATACACGGAGTTTTGGGCTTTTGGTCACCATCTCTATACATTTCCTTTAGCGTATGACTATCAACAATTATATTGGCATACCGGTACTATCGAATCTGCTAACAACATGAAAACGATTCATCTTACGCTTGTTACCTCTGGTGAGGAGCTCGCATGACACTCGCTATACTGGCATTCCTTCGTCATGGACTAATAGATACAGGTGTCACGACAATATTTAGGAAAAAAAACAAAAGCCCGAGAACAGCTACAGCACTCCACCGAGGAAATAAACACAAATCCAATAAAGAAATAAAACTAAGGGAAATTTCCCATAACAAGATTTGGCGGATAACACAACGCAAACACGATCAATTATTTCCCCTCAATTTGGATTCCTCCGGTATCGTCGTCGTCTTCGTCGTCGTCGTCGCTCATTTCTTCCTTGTCGGCGTCGTCGTCGCCCTCGGGTTCCGACGGCGCGCTCGGTGGGGCGGCCGTCGTGTTTCTCCTAGCAGCCTCTGCTATTGCTAGCCGTGAATATACCACATTCGGATCTTCGATCGGATCCCACACAAGGAATCTCTGTAGAGGCGTTTCATTTGAGGAGGATTCCGCGACAAAGTCATGTATTCTTATTGAGGAAGTGTTTAGCTCCCGGGAATTGGAGCACCTCTCTAACTGGGCAAGGCCCGAGTCCACATATCTTCGCCTTCGAATTTCCGAGGAGTTGACCGGCAGGACGTAGGACTTCGTCATTTCTTCTAGTTTGGGGGAGGGGATTGGGAGTTTGGGAGTTTGGGAGTTTGGGGGAGGGGGCTCAGGCCAAGAGACTTTAGGAGGGGGAAGGCTTTAGGAGAGGGAAGACTTTAGGAGAAGGAAGATTTTAGGAGAAGGGAGGGGAGAAATCGGTAATGTCTGAGGGAACAGCTCCTGGTGGCGTCCTGACCGTGTTCTGGCCCTCTAGCTTTATATCATTTCTCTTGGAGGGGAGGGGGGGGGTAAACCCGTACCGCTGATAGAGCGGAGGCAAAGTATATCCAAGGCATGTTGGTGTGCGTCCATGCCCCCAGCGACACACATGGAGTGTCTCGACCACTTCTAACGTCCATCTTTCCCCCATCCTCCGCTCGCAGCTCCAGAAGCTGGGCATGCAGGGTGGGGGGTACTTTTGGAGGGGATGAAAAATAATAAAAAAAAGAAAAAACAAAGAGGACCACCCACGGCGGTCATGATAGGGCAACCAAACTCCCCTTTATTTTTCCATTCTAAACTTGCATTGCGCAGACATGTACGGTACTTGCACTCGTTCTTTGCTTCATTCATGTGCTGGATCCGTACCGTTAGCAAGGGACGGCGTAAGTAAAGCGACATCGCGGCCAATGCGCAAAGAAAAGTCGCTCATGTTCGATTCGCACAACGTTCGACCATGGCAGCTGTCTATCAGAAAAGGATGCCGAAGTACGTATGACCTAGAGCTGGAAGGAGAGGATTGCAGGGACGGAACATGGTAACTGGGACGGACGATCGTCCAACCCGTCTCGTTGGAGGACGGAGCACGATGGAATGAGACTGCCGCCGTATGTGGAGTCTCCCTTTTCTGGAATTGCCTTATGTTTTTACTTTTATTTTATATTAGGCTTATCCCCCACTACCGGTACTCGTGCAGTACATGTACTAGTACTTCACTTTGTGTCATCTGCATTCCATCCTTGGCGGTTTCTTTTTTTCTTTTTTCTTTTTTCTTTTCTTTCCTTTTCTTCGTTTCCGCACGCCCTTCACTCCAGCTCTTCTACCGTACTTGTGGGATTAGTATATCAGGGAGGGATGCTATTACCGGTATGTTAGCGGAGCAGGAGGGGAGGGCTGTCCTAGCGACCCGTACCGGGATTTGGCCCGTAAGGGTGGGAGGGATGGTGTCACGACAAGGGGTGGCGGAGTACGGCATGCGCTCGTACTTGTACTAGTACCGCACCGGAAAAAGGTAATGGCAGCGTTACAAGTACAAGGGGCGGGGATAATAAAGTCCCACTATCCACGATGTGCCGGTCTCTCCCAGCTTGTCGGGACCTCGATGCCAGTATGGTGGGATTACTGGTTCCGGTATTAAGGGACGCGGGAAGGCCCGAATCCCCGGGGTAGTGGGCGAAGCCGGGGCTTAATCCCAAGTAGTCTTCGTCCCGGCGCGACTTATGTACGGCTATCACATCGTCACATAATGGCGCCCATCCGGAACCGCCAGGTTTTTTTATCATAGTGGAAATACCCTCGAGTACCGTAGTCGAGGCGGGGGGTGGCTGGCATGGGGGAATGGAAAGAAAAAGAAAAGAAGGGAAAAGAAAGGAGGGAAGGGAAAGGGAGGAAATGTAAAACAACTGACCCGGGAGCCTGGAATCGAATTTCTTATTTCCCCATCATCTCTTAATGATTGGCGGTTCTCGGCAAATGATTCTCTTTGGGAGCTCGCGGTGAGGGTTGAATCGGATGGTTTATGATTAGAGCTAAGACCTTGGTTGAGAGAGGATAGGAAGATAGCTGTACTTGTATGGTCACTCGAGTACCGGTACGGTCGTACGAGTACGAGTATTACACGGTACGGCACCCCCGGAAACGTTTGATATTATATAAGCCCCTTTCCCGAAAGATTGCTCCTCACTCCACCCCTATTGTGGTGTACACGCGCTGAAATCGCATAATACGCTCTAGAGTACGGTACAATATTATATCATACGGAAAAAAAAGACCTTCCTCCATCCGGGGTGGGGGTCATCGCCCGTCAACATCCGTCGTATACTCGTACTGGTACAATACTCGAGTAGTGCATCTCCTTCGGAGTTCCCCAGCCAAAACCAAAAACTGGGTTTCCCCTCATTAGCGTTCATCGGCCCTTCTACCGCACCATCCCTCATACTCTTAACTTGGGTATTATACACAAGCCCGAGAACGGTTCTCGATGCAGACCCATCTCACACTGTCTATTCAACTTGCCCTGTGCATCCGCTCTTCTACTTCCTCCTGTTGCCGATCCAACCCCCCCCTCACCCCGCTGGCTTTGCTAGCTAGTCCTTCTGCGGTTGGTCCTGCGTTTTATTATATTTCATTTTTTTCGGAAAAGAAGCAATTCCTGCTCCGTCTGCCGTTTATGCTCTCCCCCGGGCATGGGTTCCACAATCAATTGACCCATCTGGGGACAACGCGGACACCCCGATCTTTGATTTGGGGCTGCCCGGGCGTGCGCCGGTATTCCTTGCTTGCGGTGAGACGTCGGTTGATCAAATAATTGGGGTATGATACCTACCGTATTCTGAGGGCAACCGTTCAGGTACAGTGCCCCTACTCGAGTAGCCCACACCGAGTCTTGATTACCTCAGAGAAAGAAAGGGTGAGGGGCAAGGTTGTTTTATTTTATTTTTATTTTTTATGATAACATCTTGGCTGTTTTCTTTCTGCCGGCGCATGCAGTATTATACCTTCATTCCCGGGCAAACGCTTGGGCTCATGCTAGTGGGGATTTTTGGGGCGTGCTACTTTATCCTTTACATGCAGACCCACTGCTTAACTCATTCTTCGTTATCTCGACCAGGATCACTCCTTCGAAAAATAAAATAACAAGAAAGAAAAAAAAAGAAAAAAAAGAAAAGAGGGAATTGGAGTTCGGAGAGCAGAACACAGCACGCACACGTCCCAATTAGTATCATCGGTATAATATGTGCTAGGAGTTATATGTTTCAGGGTTTGTCCGCCATGACTATTCTCCCCTCCATCTGCTTTCCCTACGAGCCGGCCGCAACGCGCACAAAAACTTGGGGCGAGATTTGCTCGCCCCCAAAGCGCTGCACAACTACCGGTCCTTGCTGGCGACTTCTAGCGATGTACGCATCTCGTATTTGAGCTATAGCTCCCTTCCTTCCTTCTTGTGGCCGGATGTAGGTATTATGTAACAGAGACAACCGTTGGAACCTGGAAGCTAGAATAATAGCCTTCCGGGGTGAGAATATCACATCACTGAAATCGCATCCCGGCCACTTGCAGGGCGGGCACGAGGGGAAGAAATAACTCCCTGAAGATCCGCATGACACATGGCTTTATTTTCTACTCCAGCTTGATTGCGATGACACGTCTCCCGCTGTTCAATGGCTCTCCTCTCGTAGACTCTCTTCTCTCCTGAGAATTTCCCTGGAGGGCTCTCTGCACTTCCTGCTGTTAAACCACCAAATCGCCCAATCGGGCGGTGTTGCTGCAGGGAGCTTAGCTGCCGGAGCTATGCTTGTAGTGGCCACTGTCAACTCCATCTCAAATGTAGGACTGGCCTGGGCTCAGCTTCCATCAGTCTTCTGCAGTGCACAAGGCAGAGTATCGCAGAGCTTCCACTCCATTTGATTCGGGTTCTGATTGCATCTCTAGACAGCTGCGGGCTCGAGGCGTCTAGGTGGGTAATGACCTAGATTTCGAGGATCGCTCCAGTAAACGTGTCAAGGAACGACGCACATCGGTCAAATCTAGTTACGTACATACTTAGCTCTACTGCGCTGCATGGGAGAAACGAAGAGTTGCTCGTGGAACCTCTTTGGCGCATGACGAGAATAGTTTCGCTGCTGACTCTGGGGTTTGGTACTTGGACAGCCAGCAGGGCCCCAACAGACACCGAGCACACGATCGGCTGCACCGCGCCATTGCTCCAGCTGCGATGGTGATGGTCGGCACTCATGTAGTTGGAGATGCGCAAAATTCTCTCGTCGGCCTATCGTCATTAGTGCTGCCCTCTAGAGATCACGAGGTCACGAGGCGTTTCCTGCTGGAAGGTCTTTGACGCAGAAGGTGATGCTGCCGTTCCCGCAGGACCATCGGGGGGGTATGTTGTCGTTGATGCCACTAGCGTGGTATACAGTACGAGGGCAGATAAGAGTCTGTTTTGGGCGCCTGTGCCTAGGCGGGGTGGGAGACACACACAGAGACACACGTACAGCACCTACTACGGGCCGGCCACCAGCCTCAAGGGGCGATTACACCATACTGGGCTCTGGTCATACTGGGCATGCACAACCTCTCTTGCTGGTCCGCACACTATACAGTACTCTTGGGCCTCCTTTCTCTGCCCCAGCTTACTTTTATTAAACTGGGTATCTGGTTTGTCCAAGTTAGTGACCACGAGAAAACCAAGGTCAGTCAACCAGGATTGTACCATGAACCACTTTGGACCTGCACAGCAGTGTCTCCAGAGTGTGGTGGGCTAGCTTATGACTGCTGATCGTGTACCATATTGTAGTTGCCGGTAGACCGGCTGCACAGCACTCTATATGTGAAATTACTCTACGCATACCTAATACGAGGCTGTTCGCCGTTCACTCTGCTCAGGGTGCTTCTCAGCTGCTGTGGGGCTGGCCAGGCAACCGGGTTTCCAGTGTTCCTGTACTAGAATAGTGGATCCCCTGGTTATCGATGGCTTGCCAAACAAATGTTGTGGAGCAGGCCACGCCTACCTCCAGTGCATGCGGTGCAGGCTGCAAGATCAAATGAGTCGCAAGGGTAGAGGGCTGCAGCCCCACTGCTCGCAATGTCGAAGCGTTTCTTAGGGGGGCTGTCTCTGCGCACAGCCAAAATTTGGTCCCTTTGCTTAGATCTGGATGGTATCATGTGCGATAGCAGTCTTTTTTTTCTTCGGTGCTACGAGCAGTTCCCCCCGCCCCTTTGCTCTCCTGATCTACCTCCCCAACCCCACCCACTCGGTTGATAGGTGTATCCTGCTCAAGCTGGGAGACGGCTGCCATAACAGGCCACCATTAGGTGGAGGGGAAGAAACATCTGCAGGGGGGGCGCAAGAAACGAGGTTCTGGTACCTACAGCAGAGCACAAGCCGCTAGAGCTTACCGCCCTGATGCTGCTCTTTAGGGATTCCTTACCGCACTGGACGGGCGGGTAAAGGTTAGTGACTGCAGTAGCGTGACATTTTGGCACACCGTTTTTGTTTCTCAGCACAATAAGTCTTGGGACGAAACTGCTGCCTAATCGTAACGTTTGCCCTCTGCTTCTTCGGTCAAGACCGCGCCCTGCGGATGAGACGAAAGCGATTCTGTTTCGCTTCCGGTGTTGCCATACAAACGCATGGCTGGGGTTCCACGAGGGGAAAAAGGAAAGAAAGGAAAGAAAGGAAGGGGAAACGAAAGAGAAAGTGAAAGAGAAGGAAGGACACCTCGTTTACAATCTGCAGCAGTGCTGCGAGATTGCTACACGGAGAGTACCGGCACAGGAGATAGGCACCACAAACAAATCCAGACCAATCAGACTGCAAAGACTTACCGATTTCCGCAACATGAGAACCTCGCGATGCCGGAACATAGACTGTAGTGTAAGCTGCCGCACCGGTAGGAAGGCGGTAGGAAGGGGGAGCAGTTCGGTCGCTGCATTAAATCGCCCCCAGCACTACTTGTACTCAAGTAAATTAATCAATACAATAAATGAATGCCATGTGTTAATTCAAAGTCTCTTAATAAGCAGCCGGTTATTTCCCGATATGGTAAGGACATATGTCCATACATCCTAATTGGCAAGGAATGCCAAGATACCATTCGTTACAGCCACTCCATGTCGGTTAATTGGCAAGCCCCCATGCGAACTCGAACTCAGCCTAGCTCCTGCTCAAGCCAATATTTTCACCATTCCTTCCTTAGAACACCTAGAGGGTACGGTACCGTACGGACCGGACATATTTACTGGAGGTCTTGGGTGCGAGGGTTGTATGATACTTGTACAGGTAGTTGTTCGGCTGTCGTAATATTACGATACATGGGTTCGAACCTCGGAGTAAAGAAAGTAGTGGGACAACAAAATACGGAGTCTCTCAGCACTGATATCAACCAGGAGCCCGGCATCGGGGTGAAAATGATTCCATACATTGGTCCCATCTCTTGCGCTCCCCTCTCTCCTCCAGTTTTGGGAATCTGGATGTCATCTCTGCTCTGCCGGTTATCATACTTCGAGTGGGAATGCCAGGTTGAGAATCTTCCTGTTGCCGCACTAAAAAAAAAAAAAAAATTCCTTTTGTGGGTAATTTCTGGATATGCAATGTTTCGGGTTTTAATTTTTAAATATTTTTTTTGGCGGTTTGTGATTATCCTGAATACCCCTGCTATTTTTCCATTTTACTCCTTATTTATTTTTGTTTTTCAGTTGGAGAATGCTGTTGTCCCACGACTTTTCTTTCACAGCTGTGGAAGTCGGGTTTGGATCAGGTGTTGGTTTGTAGTGTCCGGAACCATTCCCGACAAAACGGAAAAAAATGTTCTGTAGACTATACCATACCGGTACCCGTCCCAGGGAGAAGTGCACGGAGATACAAAATGGGGGTTTGTAATTGTATCGGCGCTTAGATACGGACGGTTGCTTTTTTTTCTTGTTTTTTTTTCTTTTTTGCCAAATTCGAGTATATCCTGTGAATCTATATTTTTGGATACATCTTGTCTGGGACGAGTATCAGGAGTGGGGGTGGGGGGAGAAGAAAGAAAGAAAGAAAGAAAGAAGGAGAATCAAGGACCGAAAAAAAAAAAAAAAAACAGTTGAGGTGCTGGAGAAGGATGCGGTATGGGTCGGGGATTTGGCCCGGTTGGAAAATAAAAAAATAAAAAATCATCCATCTGGTTGTGGAATCCTGCGCTGCTTATTTGTTTCTGATTCTGTGATGGCCGGTGGACCTGTGGATTGGGGCGAGCCAGGCATGATACGATACTCGTCGGGGCGCTTGGCATTTGCAACAATCTTCTGTTGGGAGTGCGCTGTGCGAGTCGTCTTGAAGCGATGGTTTGGAGGGCCTCAGGCTGATCTGATTTTTGTTCTTCCTAACGCCCCGACTATAGTACGTGCAGTGCTGGAACCGCAGACCGGCACATCAATGCTCTGTCCCTGTGTTCCTGATCATCGGCTAACAGATCAAATCTTTGGTAATCTCTCCCGCTATCTCGTCGCTGTTTCATTTGGGACGGAGATCTGCCGTTTCGGTGAATTATTAATACATACCGTAACTCACTCCATACAGTATCTTATCTGATCTCGATATTGATTGCTCTCGGCAGTAAAGTCAGCGTCCGGCCTTCGCTTCCCGTCCACCCTCTCACCACCACCGTCGTGAGGCTCCCCTCATACAACAAACACGCAAGGCGCGAACACTACGGGAACCGGACCTAGCAACTCTTCTCTCTCCTCTGTTTCTTCCTGGCTATCCTTATTGTTTTTTTTTGTTTTTTTTTTCACTTTTCCCTTCCTGTTCCGCCCCGTCCACTTCCCTTGACTCTACCGTCTGATTATTCCCCGCCATGTCTGCTCCACGAGGGCCGACCCTCATTACTATTCCACCAGAGCTATGCTGGTCCGTCCTAGAGTCTCTCTCATCGCGCGACGTGGTTGCTCTGAGGCTGGTTTCTCGAGCTTTCTACAAGTACTTCACTTCAGAGGAAGTGTGTCATTACGCCCAGAAGCTCTACTTTCCACTATCCTCAGAGTGCAGTAAAGAGCGACGTACTAGACAGGATTTTGACGCTGCCTATTCCAGGTCCATGAACTGGAAACAAGGGAAACCTTCCCACGTTGAGATTATCGAAAAAGTAGCGCATGCATCTGCTAGCTTGTCAAATGGTTTCCTCGTAGATTCTAATCAGAATCTGTTGGTCTATCAACGGTATAATCTCCCATCTTGTTTGTTTGGTTGTTTCATTATATATATATATATATTTCTCCCCTTGCGCCTTCGTCTGTGTAGGAGCGGCTCTAACGTGAGATCGTGTCACAAAGTTCCCGTGGTGTTATTGTGCTCAAGGATCTAAGTCACCCTGTGGATGACGCTGCTGCCGATACTATCATCACTCTCGGTAATGAGCTTGGGGAGTGTATTATGAAACGCTCTGAGAACATACATCTTAAGGATGGCGAGAGTATTCGTATGTCGACAAACCGTGGGATGCTGTTGGTAGTTGGAGAAGCGCATATCCATCCTCAGCCGCAAGAAGGTCACAACCATCAGGCTGTTGCCAGCGAGGGTTCTAGCTTCTTTTCCTCCTGGCTGAATTGGGCGTATGTATCTGCTTCCCATAATTCTTTCATGTCCCTGGGTCTGAAGTTTGGTGCATCAGCTGGGGCACTTCCCCCTCGCCTCCTCTGCCACCGAGAACTTTTTTTCAGCATCCTCATAGCCTTTGTGCTGTTTTCTCCACCAGGCCCCAGGATCGTGGAAAGTTGCTTTATACGTGGCTTGAACGTGATTCTTTCATCATAGAAACAGCTCTCAATGAATTCTATGCTATCGCTGAATTCGACCTTGTCGAGCAGCGGCTGGAAGGGTACATTTTCCCGAAACTTGGAAAATCCTCGAGCAAGCTCAACAAGCGCTTCTCGTTCACCTCAGCCACTTCTCAACAGACAGACGATGCTGAAGCAGGGCATCATTTCACGATTAAGAAGAAAGCTCTTTACCCCCAACCCAGCTCTTTTTCAATTGCTCCTGATACCCGTGGCAAGGTGTTCTACCTAGGCTTCCTACCACCCAGCACAGATCGTCGCCCTGTGGTTGAAGTGCATGCAGTTCCGCAGTTTAGCCCCCTGGATGGCACTTGGAGTGAGTGCTCTGTCATCAAACGAGTTGTTCTACGCAGTCTTGGATTGTTCCCTGTAACTACCAATGGTTCGACCAGATCATCCTTCTGGATCGACTTTGACGACGGAACCACTGTCAGAAACCTCAAAAGATCCAAAATTGGACCCTGTGGCAAGTTTGCTTGGGATCCTGACGAAGACGTCGTCAGAATACGAATGAAAGGTGATCTCAGTATACCCGGCATTACTGAAGAGGGTGAATCAGTCAACATGGTGACTTGGGTCATCACTGCTCGACCATCCCCAATTCAACCTTCCACAATCTCAGACTGGCGTAACGGAAAGGAGTGGGCAGAGATCCCTGATAACATTATTCACGATAGCAATGCTAGCCCCTACGCCAACGAGAATGGCGAGATTGACTGTGAAGACGTTTATCCAGCCCCCACATACTATACAAGACCCCGGGACTTTCAAAAGTTTGTTGGTCAGCTGGAACCGCTTCCCATTGGAGTTGAACTTGACACACTCGAAGGAGCGAACGAGTCTGGGAACTACCCTCCTTACCTCTGGATCAAAAACCCGGAGAAGATAAACAAGAAGGTCTACGCACTTTTCAGCAAGATGTTCCCCGGCACGCTCGTTCTGAGCCCAGAGGTTGGCGCGAGTGAGGGGCGTGGGGAAATGTCTGCCGAGGACCTATCAAAGCATGTCTCCTACCCTCCTCTCCCTGGTGTGAATGATGCAGATTTCAGGCCCCCAGGACTGTTGATGAAGACCACGTACAAAGTTGAGCTTGAAGTCGGAAGGAGGGTTGCTGTCCGTGGTGCGCAACCCGCAAAGCAAGTGCCAAAGAAGGGCAAATCCAGTTTTCTGGGAAGGGTTAGAGATGGTCACGCCTACACGCCTGTTGATGATAGCTTGACTCCGTCCGAGGGGGGCACTGTTGAGCTGCCATTCCCGGGATTCAATGAAATCCCCAATAATAGGGTTCTAACACGCATGGATAAGTTGAACAAGAAGTTCTGGGTGTATGGGAAGGAGCCAGAGATTCGGCGTAAGGGAGAGGTTTTGGAAGAGACGATTGGTGATCGAATCGTGGTCGTGAGGTTCGACTAGATCAGATTTCTTTGTGGGATTTTTTCTCTTTTTTTTTCTTTCTCCTCTTGAGCAATTACCCGCATTCAATAGCACTATACCTAACATTTTTTCTTTCCCGTTTCATTTATCTTTGGGGCTGTCCTTCTACCCTATCTTTATGGTTTGTTTGAGGCTCTCTTTGCACTTTGACGGCGTAACTCTATCGAATCTTCCCTAATGGGTTTATATCGGGCTTTGTTTGCGTTGGTGATTTCCCTTCCGTTTTAAATCAACCCGTGATAGCTCCCGGAGAGAGATTAGGCATTAGTACTCATTAATGGATGATGTGATTCTCCCGTTGCGTTTAGCTTGTTCTGGTGCCGAATCTGTTCCCACACGTTTATGACCATATCCCGAATCCCCTGCACAGCTAAATCAGACCAAATCTCTATGCCACCTCCCGCCGCTGCTTCCCTCCAGGAGCCAGCTGGACTGGGCCATCGCTATACCGATCCCAAGCACTCTCTCTCCATCCCCATAGCAGAGATGGCTCCCCCTATCATTCCCCAGTCAGCGGGTGGCAGCGGGGGCCTGGCGTTCCCCAGGTCGGGATGAAACCTGCCGGCCACGATCCCCCGCATGCGTGCTAGCGGCTCATACTCCGCCGAGTAGTACACGGGGGTGGGAGCGGGTACACAACAGGAAGCCTAGGACTGGGAATAGAGTCCGGCCATGCTGCTGCCGGGTGACGACGCTGCCCATATCATAATCTGCCTTGGCATGCTCTTCTCCTGCGAAAGGGGGGAAGAGTGCTTCGAGAAGGGACAGGAGGTCATGGGCCGGCTGCAGTCTAGATGGTGCTGCGCCCGCCCCACTCGATGGGTAATTCCCCCGAAGGGGGAACGTTAATGCGGTCGTGGGTTTAGGAATAAGCAGGGTGCAGGAGGCCGTAGAAGTGCAGTTGACGGCCAGTCCGGAGATATCATTAATTGCGGTCCCAACTGTCGGCCCTGCAGTGAGTGGGCGGGGGTGGGGGCGGCGGTGATGGTACAGTAGGGGTAGGGATGATGGATCCCGGGGAGGCCAGGGTTGAGGTAGAGATGGGGGATTGCGCGAGTTGTTATGTTTTTCTTTTCTTTTTCTTTTTGTGTTGATGTACGGTACTGGGTTGGGATGTTTTGCATCGCGTTGTAGTAGTACGATACAAGTAGACAGATCATTGTGTTCCCGGGTAGTTGGGGGAGGCATGCGGGAGAGTGAGAGAAGCACTGTAAGCCGCTGTCCAGAATCAGCGATCGGATGTCTCCTATCGGGCGATGCAGACCACGGTATAGTACTAGTACAAAGTACGGTAGGGTAAGTGAGAGAGGGAGGAAGACATGGTCCGAGTTTCTCCATCGAGGAGAGGAGCAAGTCCCCTCAAGCCGGATGAGGCGTGATTACGAAACTGGTGATCACAGTAAACTAACCCAACTACACGTACTAGTACCAGGTACAAGTTGCCCAAGTCAAACTTGTGCAGGGAATCCACTACGAGTAGACTACGGGTGCTGTGCAACAGGGGTTTTTTTTTTTTTGAAACGGAATGTGTGTGTATCGTAGTGAGCCCTGACCAAAAGGGACTCAGGCACACTGGAGTTGACGAGATCTCGAACAGGCCCAGCTGATCCCCCAAACCCCGCTACCCGTACAGTAGTACTCGAGTACCTACCCTTCTTCGGGAGATCCCACTAGTACGAGCACCGGTACTCGAGTCTATACTTGTCAGAAGCTTTTCCGGAGATTACCCCATTCAGGGCGGTGGGGAGGTTCACAAGCTTTTTTTCTTTTCTTTTCCTCTCTTCCTTTCCCCACGAGGTACCGGTACAAGTACTCGTACTCGCACAAGGTGTGGTTTTCCCCATTCCCGGGAAACCCTTTTTTGGCCAATCGATCGGGTGAGTGACTTGGCGGGGATTGCCGCACCCCCCACCGCACCCCTCCCTACCCTAACTTTAAGTCCACCGTATCATATCATAACCACGGGAGAAGAAATCTTGTTTGTCGTGGTTTTATTTTTTATTTTTCTACTTATTAGGCTTACCGGATGGTACTACCGTACAGTAACGATATCGCACTCGCCCTCGCACTCGCACCGTATCATACAGAACTCGCGCACACACATAATCAGTAAAAAAAAATTGATTAATCAATCAATCAATCAATCAATCAATCATCATAATAGACAATATTAAAAAAAAAAATTAAAAAAACATAAAACATAAAACGGGTTTATCGTACAAGGTATCGTCGGGTCAGGGCCGTATGATAGAGCTTCTCAGGAGACATTCCACAGTTTTGAACTTTCCCGGAGCGCCCGTTTGGCCAGATTGCTACGGTACTCGTATGCTATGCTGCAACTGATTTTGTGTAAATTACGATATGATGTTATGGAATTGGTCTGGTCTGACTTGGCGCTTTGGAGAGAGAGAGAGGTTGATTCGTTGGTCCAGTCATCACTTCCTACCTACCTACCTACCTACTGGTTATGAGTGGGGGGGGAGGAATGTCCGACTTCGATCCGGCCGAGAAAGGTATCATACCCTGATGTCGCCATTGACCGGGGTACTCGTGACCTTCAGGCGCTAGCGAATCGAACGAGTTTTTACGGTACTCGAGTAGAAGGCCGTATCATACGGTACGTGCAGGTACTGTACTGGTACTCGAGTACATGTACGGCAGGGTAACACTGGGAAGGCCACGACCTGTGGTACGTACCGTACTGTGCTACCGCACGCCTACCAGCCTGCCCGCCCGCCAGCCTGCTATCCGATCACTGATCAGATGTTAGATGTTCTTCAGTTACTTACTTACCGTACTTACTTACTTACTTACTTACTCACTGCCAAGTACAGGTACAGTACCGGTCAGTAGGTCATCCCGCGGTTTCCCCCACCCCACCACCCGCCCGTTACTGTACGTATGATATTTATTTATTTATTTATCTATCTATTTCAATCCCCGGTCTTATACGGTGCGTGCGGTATACAAGTGGTATCATATCGGTATGATACGAGGAAAAGAAAAAGAAGGGGAAGAGGGAAAGGGCCGGCTCCGGTCCCGTTTGTTAAACTGCCTTTTTTTTTTTTTTTTTTTTTGAAATCACTTGGATCGTTTGTGTCGGGGAGTACCGGTATCTACCTACCATACATCATAATACCGGTGTTGTGGTCTCTTTCTTGTTTTTTTTTTTTTTTTTTTTTTTTTTGTTTGAGCGATTAGAATATCACACTGTAGTTTTAACTTACGGGCTCCGCCGTACTGCACTGCACCGTACTGTACTGTGCTGTACGAGAATTGGTGAGTGAGTGGGTGAGGATTACCGGTGTAGTTTGAGAGAGAGAGAGAGAGAAAGAAAAGAAAAAGAAAAAGAAAAAAGAAAAAGAAAAGGGGAAAGGTGATGTGATGGGATGTGTGACACGGTATGATGCGGCGAGTACCGGTAGCAACTACCGGACTGTAGTCCAAGGAAAGGAGTTTTATCAAAGTTTTGATGAGATAATCTCGCGGTGGCCAGTTATGATACAAGTACGGTACCGGTACCATACGCACCAGGATTTGCGTTACGTTACCGGAACCGTACCGGATTTGGTGTGCACCAAGGATGAGAGGAAGGAAGGAGATTAGAGGCGAGGTGCACAGATCTTACAAGAAATCTTGATAAGTAACTGTATCGGTCAACAGAATCTCAAAGCCAAGTGATGTTTAGTCATCCTTTACCACCTCACTTCACTTCACTTCCATCCTTCCCCCCAAATAAAAATAAAAAAATAAATAAAAATACCGGTATCATACGAGTATTATCATCACAACATTATTATCGCAAGATATGTCAACCCCTTTTCCGTGCACGCCAAGTCTCCACAGAAACAGCGAGAATACTGGTACGATACCAGTTTAGTTTCCCCCAACTCCGAAAACCCCGGTACCGTTTTGAGTTTGGCTTTTTCTTCTTATGGCGCTGACCGGTATCATAGGAGCAGAAGAGTGAGAGAGAACAGTGGAACCGTGGATCAATCAATCGACCAACCGGCAACCGGCGAAGGGGGGTTTGGTGGGCCCATGGAGGAGGAAGCAACCAACCAACCCAACAAATCCAGTCTTGGCAGTTTCCACTGAAAAGGGGAAAAAAGGGGGTAAGTGGAAAAAGAAAGGGGAAGAAAGGAACAAAGGGAAAGAAAAACGCCGGAACGCCGGAATCCCTCAGGTACGGTGTGATAATAATATTATGATACAACGCTGTCATCCACGATATCATACTGTGATATAGCGTACCGGTGCTGTACTCGAGTACCGCATCATACCAAGCCTGCGGTCAACTTGTAGACTACGATCCCGGACAGGACGGGCAAAACCTGCCCTCGCCGCCGGCTTTCGATCCTACTTTTAAATTAATTGGGGATAGAAGGTACTGCGGATTCCAACTGGTAAAGTTGTTTGAATAATGACCGAACGAGTGAATCAGAACTGATATATGGTTTTCCTTTTTTCCACCAAAGATCCTCCCTAACATTTCCCTTCCAGAAAGCTGTAAGCTGTCACACGGTAGTTCGAGTCAGAGTTGAAGATGTTTCACAATATTCTTTTATTAGATACCGTAGCCCTCTGCACCGTGATCTCCAGTCATTGGTTTTGAAACGCATTGATAAGGTAAGGGGAAACACAAGACAGGCGGCGACCGCTAGCTGCTTTTAAGATGGGGGAGGGGGGGAGGGGAGAGTTCTTTCCATAAAATTACCAGAAGAACCATTTCTCGATGTTAATGATCCGGTATGCCATGTCCGGATTTTCCGGGAAACGTTGGGCGGCGGGCGGTGTCCGGCGCTTGAGTATGGTACGAGGAGTGTACCGGCGCTGCACGAGTACGCTGGCAGAACACAATCACCACAAATCGGCCCGTGCTGGGCAGGACTCTCCGCGATCTCCGCTTAGAACTGGCGTGCGAGTGGAAGGAGGAGGAGGAGTACGGTGCCGTACGGTACAGTGCTCGTACTCGAGCATGATGCCGAGAAAAGAAAGCATTCCTTGGCGTGCAATGATGGGGATGGCGTTTTCCGGACTTTTATTTTTATTCTATTTTTGCCACGTTCTCGCGGAATTTTGACGTTACGATTGATTGCTTCTTTGTGCGATCCCGTGTGAAGAGAAAAATAGATAAATCCGGGGGGGGGCACGGGGAGTGAAGGTTTGTATGATTGGTGGGTTTGGTTTGTTGGGGCCGGACTGTACCGTACTCGTGCAGGTACTTGTGCGGTATGGGGTAGGATTTAGGACTGGATGGTTCGGTGCATTGTTGGGTGTGATTCTTGGAGAGGTCCTCCT